GAATAGAAAAGTTTCTTACAAAGTGATTAATACTGATACATTTATAATGGAATCAATAATTTCAAAGAAAACCAGCATAAACACTGACAAAAGTCATTACAATTTGTAAACTCTTCCAAAATTTATATCTATATCTTGATATAGTTTATTTAATTAGTCAGACAAAGAGCTACATTTTATGACTACATCATCCAGTTGTGTTGATGAGCATAATTTGTTACTCTGAAATTACCTATCATTAGACATTAGGAAATATTAAACACATGTTATACCTATTGTGTATAGACTGATAACATCTGCTTTTTAAATTTATAAGTTAAAACCCTCTCATATACTTTAGTATGGTGTTAAACTTTGATGATTGGGTCAGCTCACTCTTTTGCTAAAATATCGATCTACCTGAAGAAAAAAAAAAAAAAAAAAGGATCTTTGCCCTAACAACAGGTCTAAGAAAATTAACTTCAACACAAAGCACACACACATTTTTTCTAGGTGGGCACTTTGGTCAGGCGATCACCTACCATTTACTGACTGAATTTCTAAGGATATGGGTTTCCATTTAATCAATAGCAGGTACTGAAAAAAGAATATAATTTCCAATTGCATATTATCCAACTCTTATCTAAAGTCTAGCAGTATCTTGGGAGGACTTTATGGATGAAAAGAAGTCCATCCATTCTTTTATATATTCTAAGGTTTATCCTTTTAAATAGCCAAGCCATCAGAAAGCAAGGTACTTATACCATTTTACTTCAACTAGGAATAGCATTACGCAACTGAAAAGTATGTTTGTACCTTACCATGAGGTTTCTCTTGGAGTGTCAGGCCCTAAGAGGCTCTGGTGCAAACATGTAAGGAAAGGAAAGGGGGAGGGGACGAGAGATAATTCTTAAAGAAAGATCCTAATGTAACTGATCTTTTCGTTTCCTGTTTTAAAGACCACGGCTCAATATCGTATTTTTCTTTTATAACAATACACATGCAAATTTTCTTGTGAACTTCAGGTTTGGTTAAATGAAAGAAAACTCATCTTTAGCTCATGTGAAGTTTCATTACCATGTTTGCACTTCACTGAGTCTCAAACCCAAACACCTATATCTTAACAGATTCTCACTTGTGTTTCTCTTATATCTCATATTTTACTTTTATGTTTATTTATCATAGGCCGGATCAAATATTTAAGATAAAAAAAGCTCACAAAACTTACCCTCTGAACTGTTACTGTATTTAGTTATCTCAATTATAAATGTATGCAAAGATGTACTATAGCCCCCCAAACTAAACTATAATGTATATAGATTTCACTATTCATGTAATTATTTCTAAACTATGTAAAGTTAACATCCTAATATGAATTTTCTACACTTTTCATTCTAGAGCTAAATTTATAAAGGGTATTTAAAACTAAAGATTTTGAATATAGAATACTAGATGTCATATAATTACCCAGCATGTTTTAACAGATTAAAACATTACCCTTTCTACTGTCAAATAAATATGGAATTCCTTTTATGGGGACTTATCGTCAAACCAAATGCTTTATACTCAGTGTGAAAATTCAATCACAATAGTCAGAGATCATGCTGCTTCTTCTTCTTTTTTTTTTTTTTTTTTTAAATTTTTTTTTTTTAAGATTTTTTATTTATTTATTTGTCAGAGAGAGAGAGAGCGAGCACAGGCAGACAGAGTGGCAGGCAGAGGCAGAGGGAGAAGCAGGCTCCCCACAGAACAAGGAGCCCGATGCGGGACTCAATCCCAGGACGCCGGGATCATGACCTGAGCCGAAGGCAGCTGCTTAACCAACTGAGCCACCCAGGCGTCCCCAATGCTGCTTCTTCTGATAACAAACATGATGAGATATCATCTTGTTCAATATATGCTTTCAACTTGACATGTAGGCTAATAAAAAATATAAAGTTGTGGTATTTATTTTGTTTCTTGCACAACAGAAGGCTTCTAATACGGATGATCAAAGTATCTAGTATCATTGCCTGAAAATACAGCAGGCTCTTATCTGGCAACAGATTAACTGGTTTACAGATTAACTATAGTAAAATAATAGCAACATGCATTGCACTTGTAAATTACTATGCATCAGCTACTGTATAGCAGTATGAGAGGACGTCTAGTTTCAACTACATAACTAAGAGGAAAAAATTTGTGTCCATTTTGTCTATCGCATTGTCATTCACTCAGATATTTACTACGCACCAGGCACTGTATTGGGCTACTCTACCTCAACAATCAGACCTCATCTCTTGTCAACAGCTCCTCTACAAGGAAAGTATGAGGGAGGGCATATGGTCAACTTTTTTAAGTCGGCTGGAGTTCTGAGATGCAAGCTCTCAAGACGAATAGACACTTAACACTAAGAAACAAACTCCAGGGTGCCTGAGTGGCTCAGTGGGTTAAAGCCTCTGCCTTCAGCTCAGGTCATAATCCCAGGGTCCTGGGATCGAGTCCTGCATCGAGCTCTCTGCTCAGCGGGGAGCCTGCTTCTTCCCTCTCTCTCTGCCTGCTTCTCTGCCTATTTGTGATCTCTGTCTGTCAAACAAATAAAATCTTAAAACAAAAAACAAAAAACCAAACTCCAGTTGATATGCTAGTGTAAATGTCTCCCTGACCTTGCTCTTCATCTTGTCTTCCTTTGCTTCCCTGCTCAGGAAAAGCCTGAATCTGGCAGTTGTGCTTGCCTCCTTGCCCTTCCACCTCCAAGTTCATCATCACCATATTCTCACAGTTCCCTAGATGCTCCTTAACTGCATCACTCCCCTTCGCCCCGTCTCCCAAACCCTTTTGTCACTACCAAAGCTTGTAATTCCACTGTCTCGACATACAGTCACTGTTTAATAACAGACACACACCGTTTCAAAATACTTGTTAAATAATGAAGGCAGCTCCCATCATCCTCCCCATCTATCTTTTCAGTTTTAGTTCCTCAGTCACTTGCTAAACGTCAGCCAGTCACTGAGTCTCTCCCAACTATAACCCTCTAGGCCGGTGTGGTCCAGGAGAATATTCTACCATGATGGAAATGTGCTCTATTTACACTGCCAACACATATGGACACTTATTCACCTGAAACATGGCAAGGGTGACTGAGGTATTCCCTAAGTTTATTTAAATTTTAATTAATTTATATGTAAACAGCCCCACATGGCTCATGGTACCAGGACTGGCAGAGCAGCTCAACTTTCTTCCATACTGCTATTAGAATTAGGTTGCTACGGGACATCTCTGAGAATATCATATGAATTAAAGAACATGTCTCCATTAATCTTTACCATCAGATGTGCCACTGGAGATGATTTTTAATCTAGACCAATATACTACCTCATTTCCATTTTCCCTATGTCTCTCCCACCTAAGCTTCTGATCCCTTGGTGAACTCACATACACCATGATATGACCCTTCATGCCGACTGATGGCTATCGCCTAGAATGCCTTTCCTTCTCAGGAACATCCACTCATACTTCCAGATCCAGCTCAAATTCCCATTCCTCTCTGAATGGTTAGCTCTCCTCCCTTAACCGAGCTAGCCTCTCTCTCAACTCTGTTGCCATAACTTTTTGGATACAGCTCTATTAAAAATTTTAATCATAATGATTTACATGTGAAAATCAGGGGTTCCTTGTATGCCACATAAATAATTATATCCATTCAATGAGACGATGAGGTCAAGCGTTTGGCACAGGAATAAGTAAGCACTCCATACCTGTGCGAAGTCTTCGATACATGGATTATGAATTGTAGCCCCCATGCTAGGGATCTTAATGGAATATATCAGGCTCAGAAAATGAGAGGAAAATAAAAAGGTGGAGATGGAGTGAAGCTAGCTCACAAGCTGTTATACCAACAGGAGGCATAGGTCAGGAAAACTGTATAAGGAAAGTCATGAAAGCATTGAGAGATCAACTATTCAAGCAAACCCAAAGCTAAAACTGGATTTACATCTCACCTTCCCTAAGTGGCAATAAATAGCAACACAGGTCTCCCCCGCTACCCAAAAGTGGAGCGTTCCAATGAAACCCTCCATAAGCCAAATAGCATAAAGCAGAGAAGCAATCACCATTTCGTAAAAGCGGAAATCCTCTTCGGATTTCAGTTTGGAAACGGATGCGTACTAATGTAGGTCTTTCATACAAGTGAAGTTGTGTGAAGTGAACTTCTGGACAGTGGGGAAAACCAGTCATCAAATTCCTTAATCAGGTAGTATAGATGTTAGCCGGTCAAGAACAAAAGAAAGCTTTTCTTGTGATGTGTAACAGAGAAGAATTTGTTGTAAGCAGATCAATAAAGTGCTATTACTATAACCCGCTTCTGAGGAAAGAGCTCCTGTTACATAAAACAGTGAATATATTTGCCATAAGGACATTTAACCTGTGGAAGAACCCAGGAGAAAACAAAAACAAAAACAAAAACAAATCTCTAAACTTCCTTGATTTTCACATCCTTTAAAATTATATTTAGATAGAAACATTTCAAAATCATCAATGACTCCTGAGGCATGTTTATTCCTAATGATTTTCCACTTATATAAAGCAGTCTCATTCTTTTCTGCCGTTAGTTGGCTTGCCAAAAAAAAAACAAAAACAAAAACAATGAGATATTTAAATCCTAAAGGTAAAAAAATGTAGTGGCAACCCTAAGCAATTCCCAAAATGTCTATACCATCATTTGCAGCTACCTGAATTGAATATTAGATTTAATAATATTTTGATGTTCCATTTCATTAGTTTGGGAAAACCTGGGTTTACAACATAATTCTGTTATTAAACAAAATCCTTCCACTGAATTTGCAGATCAGAGAAAATTAATATTTGGATTTAGCTCCAAGGTTAAGTAAATTAGCTCAGTTCACTCTGGGTTTGTGTTCATGGTTTCGTTCAAATTCCTGATAACGAGCACTTCAAGCTAAAAATATTTAAACAATGTAATCAGGGCTGACATTTCAGAAGAAGTGTTCAGGCAAATATGTGTTTTTAAAAAACAAACTCACTTTACAGAGAGAGCTAAGGTTAAATCCGAAGGTTTGAGCATTCCGGGAGCCAGCGTTCATGTAGTTTCCCATCAGCAACACAAGTTCCAGCAACTTGCTGAAGCTTCTGCTCTGCTTTATCTCCTCGCAGGCAGTACTGACAGCCATGATGTCAGGTTTGATGTTGTTCACCTGCTCTTCAAACTGCAGCTTAAAGAGAATAGCACTGAGCCGTGGCCGCAGTCTCTTCACATTGCTCATCTGATGGAAAAGAAAATAGCAGATTTCCTTTAAAATGCATGGTATACTTTAGTACTGTATGACTGCGAGTAATCTGGGATGATTTATTGGTATGACAGTGCCGAGGAAGCAATATGTCCCTTCAAACTGATAGCAGGGAGAGAGAAGAGCCCTGCTGGTGTTTTGTGAGCAATCAAGAGTCATTCCTCAGAGAAGAAAAATTCTCAATTTAGATGCCCAGTGGAAAGAAAGCTTTAATTCGATGACAATGGTCAAGTAATCGAGTGCATATAATTTCTTAACAGAAACCGAATTTTCAAACAGTAACAGGGTACACGGGAAACAAATTACAAAGCCGATCTACCATTAATTTTTGTTTGATATTGAAAATGTGGGGTCATGTTTAAAGCATTCAGAAAGATCCAAAGTGGGTTTGTTTTCTTCAAATAGCAACCGCTGTCCTCAGAAGCCCTGCTGACTAACAGTATGTGTTAGATGGAGGGAAAGTAAATAGGTCCCAATTTGTACTAAATTGACTTTCCTGAGAAACACAGCCAAGTAGAATGACTCCTGACACACACTAAATGAGCAGGGTCCATGTTAGGGAACATGGGCATAGCCAGAGACAGAAGCCTCGTGGAATCACAGATCCATCCCATGCCATGTGAACCCTGTTCAGGACTCGGGGTTCCCTTGTGAATGTGGGGGGTTGAAGACTACAAAAAGAACAAAAAGGCTAGAGAGTCAGCAAGTTCTTGCCTGAGCTTCCTCCCCAGTGTTCTATCACAAGGGGGGAGAAGAGCCATTTAACTGAAGCCTGGAGACAAAAGGCATTTAAGCTATGCATTCCTTGGGCAAATATACTAGGGATTTAGACTTAAAACACCTTGATGAGGCATTAACAGTAAAACTATTGAATTTCAACAACTATTATAAATATCAAAAGCAGTGAGAGGCAAGATCAGGGGGAAAAAAAAGTGACAGAACACCAGAGGGTTAAAATAGGGAAGAGTTCTGTCAGTCACAGACCCTAAAGGAAAAAGTAAAGGACAATGTCACACAAAGCTTATAGGATTTCTGTTCCAGAGGCACAAAACTATCTGCTCATAATATAATGACTTATTTAAAATTGAGTAGACCAGACAAAGGCCTGAATTTATTAGATTCAAAAGGCTATTCCCAATCCTGGTTAGCTGTTTAACAGTACAGCCCAGCAGCCCTGCCTAACCACAACTGGGCATTAGGGGTTTTCTCTCTGTTCATAGCTGAGAACATTGTCTGATGAACAAAATCCATACAGTGACTGAAAAGTTTCTTAGTAAATAATATAAAGAGCTAAGTCACAGTTAGTGTTCTCCCCAGCCACCTGACAGATTAAACATTTAAGTGTATACAGCCAAGATCCTAAGAGTTCGACTAATGTAGTTAATGACTCCTCTCTACAAAGAGCTCTAAAAAATATCTCAAGTTTGACTGTCTAGAGGAAAATTTTTTTCTTCCAACAAGAAAGTAGGAAGACTGTAGGCTCAAATAAGATTCAAAAAAAGGGGGGGGCAGCTGGGTGGCTCAGTGGGTTAAAACCTCTGACTTCAGCTCAGGTCATGATCCCAGGGTCCTGGGATCGAGCCCCGCATCAGGCTCTCTGCTCAGCCGGGAGCCTGCTTCCTCCTCTCTCTCTGCCTGCTTCTCTGACTACTTGTGATCTGTCTCTGTCAAGTAAATAAATAAAATCTTTAAAAAAAAAAAAGGCAAAAACTAATAATGGCTCCATAAAATAAATGTAAAATGTTAGAAAGATAAAATGAAGCCCTATTAGAACACTAATTGTGAATGGGCATGAATCCTTCTGTTTGGACTTCTAGGTCCAGCACATGAAGTAGAGTTCGGCAGTGATTACTTCTCATCAAGTCGCTTCATGGTTCTTAAATGTTCCCAAATGGGCTAAATTCCCTACATTTTTATCCTTAAACATTGCAAATGGCATTCATATTATATTGGGCCAATTCTGTATAATGTTCTATTACATTTAATAGATCCTTTAGAATAGTAAGAGAGAGGAGTAATCGCCTGAATACACATAGTATGGTCATTCAAAAGGTGTATGATGTGCCCATGGCATGTTTTCAACTTGTAGCCTCATTCATGACACTTTGTTACTTTGCAGTAAACATGCGAGGTATCCCAGGAAAATATCAGTATTACAAAACATATTACTTTTAACCTATATTAATGTACTACTTTATGCCCAAAAAGAAAAAACTCTGCTTAAATGCTTATATTATACTGACCCAAAATATGTTGAAGCTTTCCTGCTGACAAGCTAACCATATGTAGCCAGTATAAAGTAATTAATTTTCCTAGAAAAATATAGCCTAGATTTCTATGAGTAATGAGTCTACCTGGCACTGGGGACAGGTACCTTGAAAAGATAGAGTAAGTGTATGATGTAATGCAGAACAAAATGCTACGAGTTCGTGAAAAAGCCTGACCAAGCAAAGTCAGGAAAGGAATCCTGCAAAACACATCTTGGAGCAACATCTTTTAAAATTAGACATCCTTTGCATATTGTTTTCCTTCCAAGTTTCAAAAAAAAACATTTTGACGCATAGGAAATAAACTTATTTTAGTGAAAAAAATCACTGAATTGGAAAAGAACCTGAGAGATCACCTGACGCTTGTTAAGTTCCTGAATCCTCTATTAAAATAGCCTACTCGGACAAGTGTCCTCCAGGACACTTGGCTGTCCCTGTTATTTAAAAACCAAACCAAACCGGGAAAGAACGCTAACATTCTAAGATCTAAATCTTAAGATCTAGGATAATCACAGGGTTCTCTTTGTCATGAATCAAACTAAAGTCTTTTGTCACATTGGATCAAAGAAAAAAGGTTAAAAATTAGAAAAGAACTTTTTTTTTTAAATTCCAGAATGATGTTTCTTTGTCACTTTATGTGATCTGTGATCCGTCAACACAGGATTTGCATTCTGTTGGCTTGCTAAGGAACCTCTCATTTGTCTGCCACAGGCTAGGCTGGATGCAGAAATGGAGCACTCCATTTCCCTCTCAGTGGTAACAGAAAGTCACTAAAAAGGAGGAGGAGGAGGAGGAGAAGAAGAGTTATAGAAGTTAAACTATAAGACAGCTAATAATTAGAATGCTTGAAGAAGTTAGAATTCCGCTTTCACAGAGGTAGCCTTTCAATTTATTGTTACGGAGTCTTAGTAATATAAACTTGCATCACCAAATCGATGGATTGTAATCTGAAGATCAATCTAAAGGCGTAAAAGTGAAAGTGAAAATACTTTGATTTCACTGTTGTTTGAAAGCAGGGGGCAAGATTCCCACAGTCTCCCCACCACATGACCATAGATGGCCCGTGTTGCTATGAGAATATCTTTCAAACAGTGACTGGTGAAAATCAAACCGCAAGCAATATCTGGAACACCATGGGTAACCATTACAGTCACACTTGTGTTTATTGGCAACATGAGTGTTGTCAGGAAGAGATGAAATGAAAGACCTTTGGAGAATAATGAACCAACAGGTACTGACTGGGAGCCCACTCAGTGCTGAGAAAGTCACCTAGATCAGGACTGCCACCTTTAGATCATCTGAGTCCTTCCATCTGTCTTGAAGAGTAAAAAGTAGTGGGCGCCTGGGTGACTCAGTGGGTTAAGCCTCTGCCTTCTGCTCAGGTCATGATCTCAGGGTCCTGGATGGAGGCTCGCATTTGGCTCTCTGCTCAGTGGGGAGCCTACTTCCCTGTCTCTCTGCCTGCCTCTCTGCCTACTTGTAATTTCTCCGTCAAATAAATAAATAAATCTTAAAAAAAAAAAAAAAGGTAAAAAGCAGTAATAGTCCCCAGGAAGATGTCCTCTTCCATCATCTCATTATGATTATGTTTTTCCCATGTCATCCATTGTTTTATTAAGGAAAAAATAGAATTAGACATTTCTATACCAGTTATGTATAATACCATATCTGGTTCTCTTTGTTTTATAGATAAGAGATATTCAGAAACCAGATTATTCAAAACTCGCTGGGGTGAATTTTGAATAATCTGGTTTCTGAATATCTCTTGGTGGCTCAGACTGCTTCGGCTCAGGTCATGATCGCAGTGTCCTGGGATTGAGTCCTGCATCTGACTCCCTGCTCAGCAGGGAGCCTGCTTCTCCCTCTCCCTCCGCCTGCCACTCTGCCTACTTGTGCTGTCTCTCTGCCAAACAAATAACAAATAAATAAAATCTTAAAAAACAAAAATCAAACTTGCTGGGTCGCCCCCCCCCACCTTCTTGCCTACAGACCTACGTAGACTCCCCTCAAAAGAAATTTCAGTATGTGCTCTGTATCTTTGTTATTCTTCCCTCAGGCTGTTTTAAAACTGTTTTATCCATTCATTTGGCTAACCCTGTAAGTAATCAACTGATGGAAAAGCCACTCACCCCAGTCTTAACAGACTTAAACCTTTACTTCATATGTTTTGTGCATGTATCAGGAATAACACAGCAGGATTTCACAAAGGTTCAAGGACTCCTTCGAGGTCACATGCCAGTAGGACACAGCCCTCAAGCTAACTTGCCGTCAACCACGTGTGCGTGCCACTCAGAGCATCACAGTGTGGAAATTAATAACCACAACGTAGAAACCATCTGATACTCAACCTACTCCTATGCTTTTCCAGGAGTACGAGGGACTTTAATTGCGCCGCAGTAGTTATTAGACAAAACACTATGGAGATGACCCTGCTGTGAGCATTGCCTGTTACTACTTCAGACTCCTTTCCTTTCCCGACTACCTCCTGTTGTGCTGAATTTTGAGTATTTTCCAGATTCGTGTTTGTTAGCCTCTCACACTGCACTCTCCACTCATACTTCCTTATTAGCTAATTCTTCGGTTCTCTGTGGGAGAGGTGCAATAAGCAAGGAGGACGGGAAAAAACAAATGCTTCCGTTGTCCAAGACTAAAGAAAATGACGGAGGGCGGAGAGGAGAGCGACCTCTAAGAAATGTGAATCTATTAAGA